CTGGTGGGGGGCGGGCGCCTGCTGTAGGGGGAGGAGATGCTGCCGGTGGAGGAGGGGCGGAGCTCTGCGGGCGCCAGGTCTCGGTCCGGAGGCCGCAAGCCGGGGGGCTGCATGGGGAATGCCATGGGGAAGCTTGCCATGTAGAGAACCCTGCCAACGCGCTTGGCCACCTGAAACGAGCAAATGAAGTTGCTTAGCAGGCAGCAGCGGGAGGGTGGACGCACTGAACGCTGAGCCTGCGTTTCCACGCAGCCTTGAATTTGGGAGGGGGGAGTCACAAGTGGAACCTCTTCCAGGTGCCTGCAGCCTAGAACCAACATGTCAGGGGTGTTTGTTGGGGGCGAGGGGAGGAGCAGGGCATCTTGCTGCTGCAGCCTGTTGCTTGCTCAAACAGCCAGGTGGAACGACACAGGCCTGTGGGCAGTTGGAGAAGTCAGGCCTCTGGCTTTGGACACCACCTATGCCCAGGCAGAGCGAGCCTGGTTTAAACACTAATTAATAGTTTACACAAGGAAATGGGGGTGGGGCTTTGTGTCTGTGATGTTTTGGGGGGAGGCTTACATTTCCGGTGTTGTGTAGTAGCAGGTGTGGGCTCCACTGTCTGCCCTTTAACGAGGCAAGGTGCTGAAGAGCTATTAGTCCCCCTTGGGTTTGGGCTGGTAGGTGATGCATTGACCCATGATAAAGCCCCCTGCCTGACCCCGGCAGAAAGGCAAGTGTTTGGCTGGCTGGAGTCACAGTCTCACTGTGAGACTAGGTCCAGAGCCGCTTGGGACAGTGTTAACAGTCAGCCGGGTGGGAGCTCTGCATCGCCAACTCACTCCCCACCACCCACATCCTGAGCTGCATGATTCACACTGTGTTTCTGCAGTGATAAACTGAAGGGGGGGGGGCAGAGGCGGGGCAGGTCCTTAGCCAGTCAGTCCCCAGTCTGTAACAGTGCTTGGGGTTCTTTAGCCAACGCATGTTCCTGAATTGTGGCCAAGCTGCAGTTCTGCAGAAAAGAGCCAGGGGATGACAGGGGATGAGAAGCTGGATATGAATCAACAATGTGTCCTGCTAGCCAAGAAGGCTAACGGCTTATTGGGGAACATTAGGGGGAGTATTGCCAGCAGATCTAGAGAAGTGATTATTCCCTTTTATTTGGCACTGGTGAGGCCACAGCTGGGAGTGTTGTTTGTCCCCCCCCCCCCCCCAATTACAGAAAAGACGTTGACCACATTGGAGAGGGTCCAGTAGAGGGCAATGAAAATGATGAGGGGGTTGGAGTACATGACCTGTGAGGAGAGGCTGAGGGATTTAGGCTTATTTAATCTACAGACTGGAGACAGAGGGAGGAATTTGATAGCAGCCTTTCACTACCTGAAGGGCAGTTCCAAAGAGGCTGGTCTCTGAGGAGCAATGGTCTCAAGTTACAATGGGGGAGGGGAAGTCTAGTTGGTTATTAGGAAAAACTAGGAGGGTGGTGAAGCACTGGGATGGGTTCCCTAGGGAGGTGGTGGCATCACCGGCCCTAGAAGTGTTTAAGTGCTGGCTTGGCAAAGCCCTGGCTGGGATGATTTAGTTGGGATTTGGGCAGGGGGCTGGACTCGATGCCTCCCGAGGTCTCTTCCAGCCCTAGGATTCTGTCCTTCTAAAGTCCATCTCGCAGCACACACCTGGCAGTGCCACCGCCTCCTGCAGCACCCACCTCCCTTGGGCAGTGGTCCCTAGGGCGAAGAGGCACAGGGTGGGGAGAAGGGAGGAGTAACATCGAGGCGGGTTTTAAATGAAGCACTTGACCGATGCCTTTTATTCTCTTACACTTCTCTCTCCCCCCCCCCCCCCCCCCCCCACACCATGTGGGGAGAGTGGGCTCCAGCCAGGCTGTGCTAAAGAACCAGGGTTTGCGAGCAAGCAGGCGGCTTGTGTAGCCACACACCCTGCCCTCCAGCACATGCCAGTTTGGAACTGGGACGCTCCTCCCATTCCTGGGAAGTCGCTCTGTCTACTTGGGGCATGTCCTGGAGCTCTGCTTAGAGGCGCAGCTTGTGTCTTTGATCTAAGGCCTCTCCACCTAGCCCTGCTGCCGTCTGCAGTGTCCTGCTCGCCTTGCACGCCTCAGTATTTTGGGCAGGGAGGGGGGGAGCAGGGAAATCATTTTTCTCCATCACAATCCTGTTTTCAGATTGGGCTGGTGGCAGGAACGAGGAGGGACTAGCTTGTTTTTCAATAGCAAACAGCTTTGGTGCAGCACTAATGGCTGCCCAACTTTACATTAGGGGTGGAGGGTGGGCCAGGGAGATTGGCAAAGGGGGCAGCACTCCCTCACCCCAAGGGTGGAGAAACATCTGCAGCATTTCTCACCTCCCAACCAGGGCCAAATTCCGAACCACGTTTCAGCACCTACCCAGCTGTTCTGCATTTAAGCCTCAATAGAAACAGGCTTGTGTGCAACCCAAACAACTGGGGGTTTCTCTTGGCAAAATGCCTCCTTCCCCCCATGCAACTTTCACACTGCTGATTGAGGCGGGGCTTTCTCGCTTTTTAAAACCAGAGCTCAGCCCTTCTCCCAAAAAGCTAAACCCAACACATCTGTGCGCTAGCTGGAGCTCTCTGTTTTTAAGAAACGTAAGAGTTTTATTTCCTACTGAATTGATCCACAGGGAACAATTGCCCACAGAACCTTTTTATTAGACCCCTCATAAACAGTAAAGGCTGCAGGGAAAGCAATAAAGTTACCCTTATTGTTTTAACATAACAAATGTGTGGCTTGTGGGAAGTGGAAACTAAAGCTGACGGTTCTGTGTCGATGGTGAGTGTCTGTGTATCACCATTATTTACATAAATTCACATACATATGCATATAAAATTTGTGTATACACCTATATAAACAGCTATAATACAGCAATCCCTATGTATCTTAGTGTACATATTCTACATATAGCTATAATACAGCAATCCCTATGTATCTTATATATGTAGAATATGTACACTAATATATTTTATGGAATTTGTTATTAATATGTCTAAATACCCATTCCAGTCATGTGTTCCCTGTGTGTGTGTGTGTGTCAATGCAGCTACATGAGTGTATCTGATCTGGATGGGTCGGTGTGCATTTTGCTTTTACAGAGACTGGTCACAAATGTTTCTTTCCCTTTTAACGTTACCCTCCATTTAGAACAGCAGGGCCTTCAGACATTAGATTTTGCTTCCTTTCCAAAAAACCCACCCCAAAAACCCAGCATGCCAGGTATTGTAATACCAGCCCGTATTCCTTGTGTTTATTAGATTAATTGTGTTGAAATTCAGACCCACTGACCCAAACCAATGGCTCTAAAGCCCAGGAATCTGCTGGCTAATTATCATCAAGCGCTGAGGCTGCCACTGGGTTAGGGCCTGTCAGCCCAATGGTGGCGGGGGAGGGGTAGTGCGCCTGAGGCACAGCCGCTGCCCAAGGGGGCACAGGCGGCTTTGCCCACCCGTAATACAACCAGAGAGGGCTTGAGTTAGCCCTCCCTCTGCACAGCTCCTTGCCTGTGAGGGTGTGGGTGGCTGCGGGGAGCTCCTGCCAGCATGCTAAAAATAGCCACACTGACCAGCAAGCAAGCTGGTTTCACGGCCATAGTGCCCTCCTGCAACATGCTAGTGAATGACGCTGTCTCACCAGGGCGGCATCTTCGCTCTGCCTCAGTCACTGAAGCCCAGCTGTGGCACCGAGAGCTAGGGTCACAGCTCTGCACATGATCAACAGCGAGGGAGAGCTCCCTGGCCTTTTGTAAGAGAGCTTTTGGGGGGGAGGGTGCAGCTTGGGTTGGTCTACACGGGAACAAGCCAATCGTAGTCTTACCTGTGATCTGATCTTCAGCGCCGGTCCCAATTTGAGTCCCATGTTGTTCAGTAAGTGCTCTTCGGTCAGAAGCGGCAGTGTCTCGCCATCGATCGCCTGTTCTCTGAATACCTGCAGACAAACCAAAAAGACACCCCTCCATGCTTACAAGTACCAGCGCAGGGCACATCACACGCCGCACGCTAACAGCATGGGAGAATGCAGAAGGGGGCTGCTGAATCCATTTATTAGCATTATTTGCTGCGCTGATCCCTGCGTATTAGGTGCTGTACAAACCCAGAAGAGAGGGCAGAGAAGAGCAATGATCAAATGTCTAGAAAACATGGAAAAATAGGTCTATGTTCCTTCATAGGTCATTTAGTCTGGAAAAAAGAAGCCTGAGAGGGGACATCATAGCTTTCATGTACCTACGAAGGTTGTTACAAGGTTGGTAAGGATATCAGGGATGGTCTAGCTGGTGCTGGGGAGGGATAGCTCAGTGGTTTGAGCATTGGCCTGCTAAACCCAGAGTTATGAGTTCAATCCTTGGGGAGGCCATTTGGGGCAAAAATTTGTCAGGGATGGTACTTGGTCCTGCTGTGAAGGCAGGGGACTGGACTTGATGACCAAAGTCACTTCCAGTTCTAGGAGATAGGCATCTCTATTAATTTATTTTTATTTATTTACTGGCTCCAACTAGAAGGGCAGGGGACTGGACTCGGTGACCTCTCGAGGTCCCTTCCCGTGCTATGATTCTAAGGAGGGAGAAAAATTGTTCTTTGACCTCGGAGGATAGGACAAGAAGCAATGGGCTTACATTGTAGCAAGGGAGGTTGCGGTTGGACATCATTAGGCCAAACTTCCTAACTCAGGGTGGTTAAGCACTGGAATAAACTGCCTAGGGAGGTTGTGGAATCTCCCTCACTGGAGATACTGAGATGGTCTAGCTGGTGCTTGGTCCTGCCATGAAGGTGGGGGGACGAGACCTGATGACCTCTTGGGATGTTCCAGTTCTAGGATCCTATGAGAGACAGTCCTGGCCCCCAAGATGACAGGATGATGCTCCAAAGGAGTCGAGTTTCAGCACAGGGCAGCATTACCTGGAGGCTTTCCCTAATGCCCCCATTGGCTAAAATTGCAGACAATGGGAGCAGTGTGTGCGGGGGTGGGGCCTAAGAGCAGTAGGAGACATGGAGCCAGCTAAGTGCACCCCATCCAACTTGTGCTCACACCTCCTGCACCCTCCTCCTACACACCCCCTCCTTGCACCTTCCTGGAACCCCACTCCACTCCTGCACCCTCCCTCCTAGCCAGCCCACCCCCACCCCGACCCCACAGCTCCACCCCCTCCTGCATCCATTTTGTCATGGGTCTGTAGAAAGTGGTCTGTAGAAAGGTCTGCATTGAGCAGGGTGGGCCGCCGGCCAGAAAGTTTGAGAACCCGATTTAAACAAAACCCAGAGCCCAAACACTGCTAACATGCCAGACCGAGATGGTTGGGCAGCGTGTTTGCCATAGCACAGATAAAGAGGCAGGCCAAAGTGTGTCATAGCGGGGGCATGATTTCTAACAGCTCCTTTCAATTAATTAGCTAAAAATCTATGCACCCCCCTAGGTGCTGCACCTCAGCAGAAGAGGGGGTTTGTGTTACACGTACAAGCACTGCCTCTCGGGTTAGACAGGCTGTCACAATGCAAAATGCCCTGCCCCTTTGGATGGCCAGCCAACCGGAGCGACATGAGCCTCCGCCCCCCCGGCCGAGCCAGGCGGGTCTCTGACACTCGCCTCTGAAGCAACAGCAGGACCATTGTCACTTACCCTCCTAGGAGCTGTAGCCTGTGCTATTGCCCACGAGTGATTCAGAAAATCACAGGTGTAAAAAAGCCCCAGACAGCTGAGAGCTTAAAAACTGGATGGTGATAGACTGTGAAGCCCAGGGACGATGGCCAGGGGAGGGGGGCAAAGGGGATGACATCCTGAACAAAACGAGTCAGCGGCCATGTCTGTAGCTGCTACCATTGCTTCATTTAGGCTTCAGAGTGACACTCCTGGAATTTTATTTATATATATATATCATCACACACCCCTTCCCAAACACCTGGATTCCACCCCCCCAGGGCCTGCCATAGATAAGACACCCTGCCCCCTCGCCTGCTCCTACGCACAGTGCTTCTGTTTGCCATTTCTGAAATTGGGGGTGTAATTTTATTAGTCTTCCTGGCAGCATCTTGATTCCATTACTACTGGCTCAGTGCATGCAGTACCACCTCTGGAGTATAAAATACCACGCAGTATTTTTTCTCGTGCTGCCAAGCCCTTGCCCATTAGAGCGGACCCTGGGTTCCAGCGGACTTGCCTCTATTTTCTGCTCCTCCCTGAACCCCCCCTTCGCTCCACCCGGGTTTTTGCACATCCAGGGCAAGCGCTGGCCTCTTGTCTGGGCAAACTGTCTGGGGCTACAGCACTAGCGAGAGCTGTTGTGCCTTGGTAGCACATCCCCGCAAAGGGCAGGGGCTTTCCCTTTGCGCCAATGGTTTCTTTCTCCATAGAACCAATCCCTTGGAGAGCAGCCATGGCCGTGACGCTGAGGCAGCTGAGCCGTGGCCAGCTCATATTGCTGGTCTCCCCCAGCAAAGCGGCTCTTGATGACTGCAGCCCTCTGTTTCTGCTCCTGCAGCGAGCAAAACGCAATAGAGCGGCTCCTTTCCTTCCTACAAAGCCAGCATGGCCAGGCGCCAAAAGCTCCCTCGCTCAGCTCTCTACCCCTAAAGCCCTAACCTGCGGGTACAGGGAGGCATCACTCCACCGGGGGGACAAGGGTGGAGGTGGACAGAGATCGGGAGACTTTGTTCTCAATGACGTTACTTTTTGGTGCCTTTGAAATGTGTTGCCGAGGGCGCAGCGTCACCGCCAAGCTCTCGCTGGCTTCCTGGCGGGTGCGCGCTGTGGGCCGGTGCCAGACCTCCCCAGCAGCTGTGGTCTGAGAGGAGAGAACAGACAGCTCCGCAGCACCCTGCACGCAGGAAAGGCACAACCCTGATGAATGACAGAAGCAGCCGCCCTTTAACCCCCCGCATGCCGGCACCCGCGCCAGCCAGGACGCCGGGGTTGTTCACAACGGAGCCCAGTACCCGACAGTGCTGGGGTTTGCTAAGCGTCAAGAGTGCTGCCGCGCCAGGGCATCAGTCCGCTCTGGGCTTGCTGTCCCTGGAGCACTGGGTATAAATGGCTGGTGCGTGGGCTCAGGATTTCTCCACCTCTCTCACCTGCCACAGTGCTCTGTTCCGGGGGGTAGAGCCAGCGGAATTCCACGGCCACCGGTGAGTTATCTCAGATCGGGGCTGGTTTAACATCTCACCCCACCCCTGGAAACCTACCTGCTTCCTCATCTCACCCTCCTGAGCTGCCCTTCCTCTTCTCCACCCCCCCCCCCCCCCGCC